CACAATGGAATATTACTCAGCCATAAGAAAAAAACAGATCCTACCATTCACAACAACATGGATAGAGCTAGAGGGTATTATGCTCAGTGAAATAAGCCAGGCAGAGAAAGACAAGTAAGAAATGATTTCACTCATCTGTGGAGTGTAAGAACAAAAGAAAACTGAAGGAACAAAACAGCAGCAGAATCAGAGAACCCAAGAATGGACTAATAGTCACCAAAGGGAAAGGGACTGGGGAGGATGGGTGGGAAGGGAGGGATAAGGGTGGGAAAAAAAGAAAGGGGGCATTACGATTAGCATGTACAGTGTGTTGGGGGGCACGGGGAGGGCTGTGCAACACAAAGAAGACAAGTAGTGATTTTACAGCATCTTACTATGTTGATGGACAGTGACTGTGAACAGGGATGTGGGGGGGACTTGGTGAAGGGGGGAGCCTAGTATACATAATGTCCTTCATGTAATTGTAGATTAATGATACCAAAATAAAATTTAAAAGAAAAAGTCTACCTCCATTCAGTAACCTCTAAGTTTCATAATGGCAAGGTCCAGATCAGTTTTGTTTAACACTATATGCCTAGAACAGGCAGGTATTTGATAAATATTTACTGAATAAATAAGCATGAAATTACTTGCCAAAGACCTCACAAACAGGAGTCAAAGTACCAGAATCTAGGAAGAGTTGAAGCAAAGAATTAAAAGAGCTGGAAACAAGAAGTTGTGGCCAGATCATAGGACAGTGAAGCCTAAGGTTTCAGAAGTAGAACCCTCTGGGTGATCACAAAGTCCAAGATACAGTTTTGGGAGTAGGTGGCTAAAGTGGCATAGTGAAGAATGTCTTTTAGATTTAAAGGGCTGTCTACACTGATAATGAAACTTCCAAATGACAGTTGTGACAGAGAGAAAATTACTTCAAAAGTCAGATATCGAATAACAGAGGGGAATTCAAGATGGTGGCATGAGAGGTGAGACAGAGAACTCCTCCCAAAACCACAAATAGTATGAAAATATAGTTAATTAATACAACTAACCCTAAAAGAGCAACAAGAAAGAAGGCTGAACCAGACTATATACAGACCTCACGAACAGAGCAGATCTCACAAAATTGGGTAATGTATGAAAGCTTTAATTCGGCGGGACCCAAGCCCTTCCCCCACCCCAGATCCCCGGTGGGAGGAAGAGAAATGGAGCAGGGAGGGGGTGGAAGCCTGAGACTGCTGAACACCAGCCCTGGAGGTCTGCTTTGCGAGCAGAAACCTACACTGTGTGGTGCTCTGGACGCTGGCGAGCTCAGGCAGATGGAGTGCTCCAGAGACTGAGATTCCAGCCCTTTGTGGAGGAGGGGATCCACATTCGACCACTCTGTGTCACAGGAAAAGCAGGCAGCCTGACAGGCTTCCTAGCAGCCAGGAGGGCTGCTGAAGGGGCGGTGTTTGCACAGACCTTGCTGCACAGGAGAAGGGAGAGCCGGACAAAGTTGTCAGGGTGTGCTCTGCCCAGCTGGTTGGGAACTTTGAGGAACTTCAGGTGCTCCATCCCCCTGATTGCCCTATTCAGCTCTGAGGCCCCCCACTGTGACACGCAGCCTGCTGAGCCTTCCTCCTAGCCTGCCAGTGGGAGGCCCCACCTACAACAGGTAGAGACGCAAAGCACCGAGGCTTACACCTGTGTGCTTGGCCCACTGGCTCTGACACTGGAGACAGGCACCACAGATGGGAATCAGGAAACATCTTTCCTCCCCCCAGGCACCAGCACCACTTCCCTATGACCTCCAACCTCACTCTAGGGCTAAGCAGCTCCAGAGACGGCAGCTTCTGGGCACTAGTGGGCACCACAAAGAAATATGAAACGTCAAAAGAATATGGCTCAGACCAAAATCTCACAAACCCCAGAAAAAGGGCCAAATGAAACTGAACTCGCCAATCTTCCTGAGAGTTCAAAATAAAAATTATAAACATGCTTATGGAGGTACAGAAAAATATTCAGGAACTCAGGAATGAATTTAAGACAGAGATTCAATCATTAAGAAATTTCATATTTGAAATGAAACATACAATGGAAGGACTTAAAAGCAGATTAGATGTAGTAGAAGAGACGGTAAATGGAACAGAAATTACAGAAGAGGAATACAAAGAAGCTGACACATAGAGAGAAAAAACAATCTCTAAGAATGAAAGAATTCAGAGAAATGTATGACCAATCCAAAGGGAACAATATTCACATTATAGTGGTACCAGAAGAGAGAAAAGGGGATAGAAAGTGTCATTGAGGAGGTAATTGCTGAAAACTTCCCCGATCTGGGGAAGGAGACAGTCTCTCAAGTCATGGAGGTGTACAGATCTCCCAACAAAAGGGACCCAAGGAAGACAACATCAAGATATATAATAATTAAAATGGCAAAGATCAAGGATAAAGACAGACTTTTAAAAGCAGGTAGAGAAAAAAGATCACATACAAAGGAAAATCCATCAGGCTATCATCAAACTTCTCAACAGTAACCTTACAGGCCAGAAGGGAGTGGCATGATATATTTAATGCAATGAAGCAGAAGGGCCTTGAATCAAGAACACTCTACCCAGCAAGGTTATCATTTAAATTTAAGGAGGGATTAAACAATTTTCAGATAAGCAAAAGCTGAGAGAATTTACTTCCCACAAATCATGTTTACAGTGCATTTTGGAGGGATTCCTACAGATAGAAGTATTCCTAAGGCTAAATAGATGTCCCCCAAGGGATAGCCAAAGAGTACAAAGTATGATTCATAAGTTACAAAGAATGGAGGAGGAAGAAAAAGGAGGGAAGAAAAAAAAAGAACCTTTAGGTTGTGTTTGTAATAGGATATGAAGTAAGTTAAATTAGACTGTTAGATAGTAAGGGAATTACCCTTGAACCTTTGGTAACCACGAATCTAAAGCCTGCAATGGCAAGTACATACCAACTGATAATCACCCTAAATGTAAATGGTCTGAATGCACCAATCAAAAGACACACACTTACTGAATGAATAAAAAAACAAGACCCATCTATATGCTGCCTACAAGAGACTCACTTCAAACCCAAAGACATACACAGACTGAAAATTGGGGATGGAAAAAGACATTTCATGCAACTAATAGAAAAAAGCAGGAGTTGCTGTACTTGTATCAGACAAAACAGACTTCAAAACAAAGAAAGTAACAAGAGACAAAAGACATGACATAATGATAAAGGGGTCAGCTCAACAAGACGATATAACCACTATAAATATCTACACACCCAACACAGGATCACCTACAAATGTGAAACACATACTGACAGAATTAAAGGGGGAAATAGAATGCAATGCATTCATTATAGGATACTTCAACACAACACTCACTCCAAAGGACAGATCAACCAGGCAGAAAATAAGTAGAGACAGAGGCACTGAACAACGTATTAGAACAGATGGACCTAACGGACATCTACAGAACACTCCATCCAAAAGCAACAGGATACACATTCTTCTCAAGTGCACATGGAACATTTTCAAGAGTAGATCATATACTAGGCCACAAAAAGAACCTCTGTAAATTCAAAAAGATTGAAATTGTACCAAGCAGCTTCTCAGATCAGAAAGGTATAAAACTAGAAATAAATTACACAAAGAAAAGAAGCCCACAAACACATGGAGGCTTAGTAACATGCTCCTAAATAATCAATGGATCAATGACCAAATAAAAATAGAGATCAAGCAATATATGGAGACAAATGACAAGAAGAATTCAACAACACAATCTGTGGGACGCAGCAAAGGCCATGCTAAGAGGGAAATATATTGTAATACAGGCCTACCTCAGGAAAGAAGAACAATCCCAAATGAACAATCTACTCTCATAATTAATGAAACTAGAAAAGGAAGAACAAATGAGGCCCAAAGTCAGTAGAAGGAGGGACATAATAAAGATTAAAGCAGAAATAAATAAAATTGAGAAGAATAAAACAACAGAAACAATCAATGAAAGCAGGAGCTGGTTCTTTGAGAAAATAAACAAAATAGATAAACCCTAGCCAGATTTATCAAGAAAAAAAGAGAGTCTACATACATAAATAGAATCAGAAATGAGAAAGAAAAACCACTACGGATGCCACAGAAATACAAAGAAATAAGAGAGCATACTATAAAAATTATATGGTAACAAACTGGATAACCTAGAAGAAATGGATAACTTTCTAGAAAAATACAACTTTCCAAGGCTGACCCAGGAAGAAACGGAAAATCTGAATAGACCAATTACCAGCAAAGAAACAGAACTGGCTCTTCCCCAGCGCGCCCTCCTGCTCCCTCGCGTCTCCCCCTTTCCCTCCTCTCCATCCCCTCTCCTCCCCTTACCTCTTCCCTCCCCACCTCCCCCTCTTGGTTTCCCCCCTACCCCCTTGACTCTCCCCTCCCTGCCCTCGCTCTCCTGCTCGCCCTCAGCATGGCCCCCACCATGACGGAGGCGGGTGCCGGTGCCGTTGCTGCCGCTGCCGTCACGGGGGGGGGGAGTCGGGTTCCCAGAAAGTAGCTTGATGAGTGTCCAAAGTAGCAGTCGAAGTTTGGAGGGGCCGCCATCTTGGTCCCAGCTCTCCACATCTCCAACCCCAGGCTCGGCGGCGGCGGCCAGGTCCCTGCTGAATCATACACCGCCATCTGGGAGGCCCAGGGAAGGTGCAATGGATGAGCTTCATAGTCTGGATCCAAGAAGGCAAGAATTACTGGAAGCTAGATTTACAGGAGTTGAAAGTGGGAGCACTGGGAGCAGTGTTGGAGCTAAAGCCTCAACAAATAATGAAAGCTCTAATCACAGTTTTGGAAGCTTGGGATCTTTAAGTGACAAAGAATCAGAGACTCCAGAAAAGAAACAATCGGAGTCATCAAGAGGAAGAAAAAGAAAAGCAGAAACCCAGAATGAAAGTAGTCAGGGAAAAAGTATTGGGGGACGTGGCCACAAAATTAGCGACTATTTTGAATACCAAGGTGGGAATGGCTCAAGTCCAGTAAGAGGCATACCTCCTGCAATCCGTTCTCCTCAAAATTCGCATTCACATTCCACTCCTTCCTCATCTGTTCGACCAAATAGCCTTTCTCCTACTGCATTAGCTTTTGGGGACAACCCTATTATACAACCAAAGCAGTTATCCTTTAAAATTAAAAAGACTGAAATTAGCAGCATTAGAAAATAATAAAAACCAGGACCTGGAAAAGAAGGAAGGTCGTATAGATGACTTGCTCAGGGCAAACTGTGATCTCAGACGGCAAATAGATGAACAACAGAAGTTACTTGAAAAATACAAAGAACGATTAAATAAGTGCATATCCATGAGTAAGAAACTGCTTATTGAAAAGAGTACACAAGAAAAACTGTCAAGCCGAGAGAAGAGTATGCAAGACAGATTACACCTTGGGCACTTCACAACAGTTAGACATGGTGCTTCATTTACTGAACAATGAACAGATGGTTTTGCATTTCAGAATCTTGTGAAGTTGACTTTGGCAGAATATCATGAACAGGAAGAAATTTTCAAACTAGACTAGGACATCTCAAAAAGGAAGAGGCAGAAATCCAGGCAGAACTTTGGAAAGAGTCAGAAATCTTCACATTCGAGAACTCAGAAGAATAAATAATGAAGATAATTCACAGTTCAAAGATCACCCAACGTTAAATGAAAGATATTTGTTACTTCATCTGCTTGGAAGAGGTGGCTTTAGTGAAGTATATAAGGCTTTTGACCTTTATGAACAAAGATACGCTGCTGTAAAGATATATCAGCTTAATAAAAGCTGGAGGGATGAGAAGAAGGAAAACTACCTCAAACATGCCTGCAGAGAGCATAGAATACACAAAGAACTGGATCACCCCAGAATAGTTAAACTCTATGATTATTTTTCCTTGGATACAGATATGTTTTGTACAGTGTTAGAATACTGTGAAGGCAATGACTTGGATTTCTATCTGAAACAACATAAATTAATGTCAGAGAAAGAAGCTACGTCTATTGTAATGCAAATTGTAAATGCACTAAGATATCTCAATGAAATCAAACCCCCTATTATACATTATGATCTTAAGCCAGGAAACATCCTTCTGGTAGATGGAACAGCATGTGGAGAAATCAAAATGACTGATTTTGGTCTATCCAAGATTATGGATGATGATAGCTATGGTGTAGATGGAATGGATCTAACTTCCCAAGGGGCAGGCACTTACTGGTATTTACCTCCTGAATGTTTTGTAGTTGGAAAAGAACCACCAAAGATTTCCAACAAGGTTGATGTGTGGTCAGTTGGAGTAATCTTCTTTCAGTGTCTTTATGGTAGAAAGCCATTTGGTCACAATCAATCTCAACAAGACATTCTTCAAGAAAATACAATATTAAAAGCCATAGAGGTCCAGTTCCCAGTAAAACCAGTTGTAAGCAGTGAAGCAAAGGCCTTTGTAAGACGGTGTTTGGCATACCCAAAAGAAGATCGATTTGATATGCACCAACTGGCAAATGACCCATACCTTCTCCCGCACATGAGAAGATCAAATTCTTCAGGAAATTTACATGTGACTGGGCTTACAGCATCCCCTGCACCCCCTTCCTCAAGCATAATTACTTACTAACTTTCCTCCAGAGTTGGCATGATATCTTTAAATTGCTTCCAGATGCACACTTGAGTTTGAGAGCATTTGAGTGGTTGTTTTCTCTTTTTACACAGAGCATGGTTAAGAACCATTTGTGAACTGAAGTTCTTGGTAGCATCATTTGTATGAGTGGATCGTGGACAGTGGATGTGTGTGCTCTCCTGCCTGTGACCTTGAGCGGTGAAGGACGACTGCCTTCAGAAACAGAAATGTGGTGTTAAGAGAGAAGATGGTCATTTGTTTGGGGGACACTGTAAATAACATTTATGATACTTAAATACATTTGGTTGTTACTAGAGAGTTCTAATATGAAGGGTAGTTTTTCATTATTTAAAAATAGATGGGAAAAAATATGAGACATTTCTAACACAAGAAATATAGTGCCTGGATACATTCTTCAGCATTCAGCAGTTACTCTGCTGGAACCAAAGTAAAGCTGAATGACAGTGACAGTTGTGTTTATAGTAATGGAATGTGAGAGAATCTTTGGACAAAGTTAGACTTTGTCATTTGCCTCTTTGGGCTTTTACCAAGTTGTACCTCGAAATCACATGTCTGTTTTTTTCACTGGTTATGTTAAAGGGAGAGCTATTGTTCCTAGATACTTTACACTTTTGACACAATAGGCTGCTTGGTTTGAAATTAGTTGAATTCACTAAATTTTAATATCTCAAGTGTTTTGAACAGGTTAGAATTTTAACAGGTTAGAATTTTAACAGATTACTTTTGTTACCAGGCCTTGTTCATTAAAACAAGTGACAGTATGTAACCAAATGCAGACCAGTTCTATGCAGGATAATGATAAATTCCCTTCTAGCTCTATTGCAAATTGTTGTACAGATGTCATATTTCAGTTACCAAGTTTCAGCAGCTTATTCTTGTATAAATGTTTAAAAATATGGCTTTTCTCATTGGATATTGTATTTTTTTTTTTTAGTCTTCTTGAAGGCACTTTAATTGCTGCTAAATGGTGTTGCTTCTTTGCTAAAAAATTGAATGACCTCCTTAAAGTACAAGTTGACTGTACGTCATAGAGATATTAAAATCATGCATTCATTAACAAAAAAAAAAGAAATAGAATTGGTAATCAAAAAACTACCTAAGAACAAAATTCCTGGACTAGATGGTTTCACCACTGAATTTTATCACTTAGTGAAGACCTAATACCCATCCTCCTTAAGTTTTCCAAAAAGTAAAGAGGAAATACTCCCAAACTCATTCTACAAGGCCAACATCACTCTAATACCAAAACCAGGCAAAGACACCACAAAAAAAGAAAATTACAGACCAATATCCCTAATGAACATAGATGCAAAAATACTCAACAAAACATTAGCAAACCGAATTCAAAAATACATCAAAAGGATCAGACACCATGACCAAGTGGGATTCTTCCCAGGGATGCAAGGATGGTACAACATTTGAAAATCCATCAACATCATCCACCACATCAACAAAAAGGACAAAAACCACATGATCATCTCTATAGATGCTGAAAAAGCACTCGATAAAATTCAACATCCATTCATGATAAAAACTCTCAACACAATGGGTATAGAGGGCAAGTACCTCCACATAATAAAGGCCATATATGACAAAGACACAGCAAACATGATACTTAACAGCGAGAAACTGAAAGCTTTTCAAAGTAAAAAATGCACATTTGTCCTTACATACTTTAGTATGCTAGAACAAAGATCTGGTCTCAAAAAAAATCACCTCACTTCCATTCTCTTGGAAGTTGGAAAGCCCCAAAATAACATTCTGAAGAAATTACAGTTTCAGTTTCTAGATTTTCTTTTTAAAGGCCTGACAGCATTCTACTTACTACCACCATTTTTCTTCTGGATTCACATTAACTCGCTACTTTTCTCAACTTCCAGCTACACACCCAAGAGTGCCACCCTTTACACTGAAGACTTAGAAATGATATCAATTTCTTCAAACTAATGCAGAGACAAGATGTTGAGTGAGGGTAGAGATTAATGAAACAAGATTAGCTATGGTAATTATTGAAGCTGGGTACATGTGGGTTTCTTATACTATTCTCTCTTCTCTTGATACATTTGAAATTTTCCATTATTTTCTAATTTTTTTAGTTTGTTTTAAGTTAGATCAGTCTGAGAAACATAACCAAGTCAGGAAAAATGTTAACCAACTATGTACTGAACAAACTGTGACCCAAAGTAAAAGTAGACTGGAAGTAATCTACTATGTTGGAGAATTAAGGGAGAAGGGTATTTAGATTTACAAAACACCTATGATGGGGTTGACACTGTACTAGTCCTCCAAACAACTGTGTGAGATGAATATTATTTCTGTTTTACAGATAAGAACATAAAGTAAGTTGTCTGTGGCAGATTTGATTTCCCAGAGATGACCCCAACAAATGTCCCAACTCACATGCTCTTCTGCAGTGTGACCTTCCACTCTATTCCCTTTGAATCCGGGGAACTCTATGACTTAAATCATAGAATACTAGACCTGTTTCAGACAAAGTCCTTAATCCCTGACAGTTTCTGCTTCCTGACTCTTAGAGCCCTGAACAGCCACATAAATCCACCCTACTCTGCTGGACAGAGAGGCCACAGAGGAGCACCAAAGACAACGACTGGATTGTAAGAGGGAAAATCCATGCTGAAGGTCCAGCCCAGCGGTGCCTTCAGATGGCTCCATCTCCAAGTACTGTCTGACCACAATTGCATGTGAGAACTGACCAGGTGAACTCTGGAAATCCACAGAAAAGTGACAGATAAAAATTACTGTTTTAACAACAACAACAAATGTTGGCGAGGTTGTGGAGAAAGGGGAACCCTCCTACACTGCTGGTGGGAATGTAAATTAGTTCAACCATTGTGGAAAGCAGTATGGAGGTTCCTCAAAACGCTCAAAATAGACTTACCATTTGACCCAGGAATTCCACTCCTTGGAATTTACTCTGAGAATGCAGCACTCAAATTTGAAAAAGACAGATGCACCCCTATGTTTATCGCAGCACTATTTACAATAGCCAAGAATTGGAAGCAACCTAAGTGTCCATCAGTAGATGAATGGATAAAGAAGATGTGGTACATATACACAATGGAATATTACTCAGCCATAAGAAGAAAACAAATCCTACCATTTGCAAAAACATGGATGGAGCTAGAGGGTATTATGCTCAGTGAAATAAGCCAAGCAGAGGAAGAGAAATACCAAATGATTTCACTCATCTGTGGAGTATAAGAACAAAGGA